CACACACACACACACACACACACACACACACACACACACACACACACACACACACACACATATATATATATATATATATATATATATATATATATATATATATATACTTTATTATGATGTGGTTTCTATAAGGTTGCAACATTAAACAATCCAATTACGGCACACCTCTAAATTTTATCATAACATGTAAATTTGGTATAAAAAATTATTAGGATTATCTGAAAATCTATTTTTATATCTAATTATAAAATTTTAAACTCCAAAACTAGTTAAAATCAAGTAGATCTATAAACATATGAAAATCTTGAAAATGGACGGTATAGATAATGTGTTGCAAGATGCACTATTTCTGATACTCAAAAACTTTTTTTTTTTTTTAATATTCATACATCTCAATGTCGAGATGATCAATTAGAATGTTTTTCAATGTTAAAACAATCTTCTATGATAGATTTTTTATGGGCATATATAATTCTATATTTTAAGGTTTCTCGGCAAGATCATATTAGTCTTTCTTTCATTGGTATCATAGCATAGTTACTTATTGTTATTAGGAGTATTTTCTCTTTATTGAGTCTAGATCTAGCTTGGGAATAAAAAATATGGTTGCCCGTACCTTCGTCTCGGAGATCCTAAAAATCGAAATGTTTGATGGGATCAATTATGCCTCTTTGAAATGAAAGATTGGGTATGTTTTTTATGATGAACACTTGTATGAGATGCTCTATGAGCGTCGTCATCATCTTCCAAATGACAACTCATCTCAAGCAATCAAAGATGAATTTGCTACTTAGAAGAGAATGAACTTAAGGTGTAAGCACATCTTTTTGTGCACTATGACCAACTCATATGCTTCTAAGTATGAGACATTTTTTACTACAAGTGGAATCTATGATAAACTTGAGAGAGAATATGCGGATCCCTCTCTCATGAAATAAGCAATGGATATGTAAAAGAATAATGAAGATACTCGCATGAAACCTATTGAACCCATACAAGTGATTCATCTCACGAATTCACTTTCTAACTCATGAAAGACTTTTGTATCCACCTTCTCGGCTAAAAGGAAGGTCCCAAAGTTGAAGGACTACATCACGACAATCAAAAGAGAAGAAGAAAGGAGGGACTCAAAGCTGTAAGGGAGGTCATACACATGATAAAATTTCCACCAACTTTTAAACCTAAAAAGGGAAATAGTAAAAATAATTTTGGAAAGATAGGATACAACAAAAAGAGAGATTTTGGAAATAAATGAGGAAAGAAAAAGACTAAAACTTGCTTTATTTGCAAAAACGTGGGTCACATAGTCAAGTATTATCGGTCAAACAAATTTGGTGGGACCAACATGAAACTTGCTTACGTAATCTTTGAGACGTTGCTTGCCAACCCCAAGGGAGCTTCTTGGTGTCTGGACTCGGGAGTTACGACTCATGTCACAAACTCCAAAGAAAGCTTCTGCTTTTTTACTCCCATGAGGCCAGGAAAACAATATATTTATATGGGAGTGAACCAAAAGACCGACGTGCATGGAGTTGGGAATTTTGAGTTTGAATTGAAGAGTGGAAGCTTCTTGATCCTAAAGCAAGCATTTTATGCTTCCGAAATGAGAAAGTGCTTAGTTTCGATTCCCAAGATGGCTCTAGCGGGATTTGTGATCACTTTAGTTGAAGAGAAAGTGTTAGTCAAGAAGGGTAAAAATGTTGTTATGAGCGGACGTCTTGTGGATGGTTTATATACTATTGAAATGAAAGAGAACATTGCGTATGTCTCGTCCCCTAATGGTTTGGATGCTACCCTATGACATATGAGATTAAGACACATTAATTACAAAAAAATGAAAAGACCGAAAGATGATGGTATTCTTCAAAATTATAAAGGTGATTTATCAAAGGTGTATGTGTCTTGTTTGCAAAGAAAACTAACAAGGAAAAATATCACCGGGGGCAAAATAGTTACTAATGTTTTAGAAATCATTCATAGTGACATATGTGATCCTAGTGTAGTTACCAAAAGCCACAAAAGATATTTCATTACTTTTGTAGATTGCCACTCGCGACATGGCCATGTGTATCTACTACACAGAAAATCCGAAGCCTTATAAAAGTTTAAATAATAGAAAGTTGAGGTAGAAAATCAAAGTCCTTGGAACCGATAGAGGGGGGAATATTCATCCTAACTTTTCAAATAAATTTGTGTTGAAAACAGAATCATACATCAATACATCATACCTTATACTCTTGAACAAAATGGTGTAGCTAAGAGATGGAATAGAACCTTGGTTGAAATGGTAAGGAGTAAGATAAGACATGCTATGCTCACCTTAGATTTTTTGGAAGAAGTCGTGTTGACGACATGTTATATCCTTAATCAGAATCCCACAAAAGGCGCCCTAGTTACTCCTCACGAAATATTCAACGGTCATGCTCCCTCCCTTGATCATCTAAAAGTTTGGGGTTGCTTAGCCTAGGTCCTAATCCCACACCAAAATATGACCAAACTTCAACCCAAAACTGTAAATACCATTTTTATTGGCTACCCAGACCATGATAAGAGGTATCGATTTTATATCCTTGAAACCGGGGTGGTTATTGAGAGCCGCGATGCTTACTTTTTCGAGGATGAATTCCTTGAAGTAAGATTGAGTCACAAATAAGCTGACCTCTTTCAGGAGGTAATAAACAACAGTGTTTCGAGAACCTGAGCCTGAAACTTCAAATAGACTTGAGCTTGAACCCGAACTCTCAAATCAAAATGAACCTGAACCCAAACTAAGACGAAGCAACCGAATTAGTAGACCATCTTTATATCTAGAACACTTTGTTTACCTACGGGAACATTATGATAGAGTTGGGAAAGATCCAGATTCTGAATCTAAAACTTACCGTGAAGCATTGTCTTGTCCTGAAAAAGAGTATTAGGTAGAAGCCATGAATGACGAATATACTTCTATTAATCAAATCCATGTTTGAGAATTGATGTCACTACCTTGAAAACGTAAGGTTATTGGATGCAAGTGGATTTTCAAGTAGAAGTTAAACTCGAAAGTGAAAATATAACAATACAAAGCTAGGCTAGTTGCAAAAGAATTCACCCAAAAAGAATGGATAGATTATGATGAGACATTTTTCTTAGTTGCCAAATTTGCATATATCTGGATCCTTATAGCCATAACAACCCATTTTGATTTTGAGGTTCATCAGATGGATGTCAAAACAGCCTTTCTAAATGGAGGTTTAAAAGAAATCTACATAAGTCAACCTGTTGGATTTGAAGAAAAGGAAAAGGAAAACCAACATGTAAGCTTAACAAATCCCTCCATGGCCTTAAACAAGCATCGCGTCAGTGATACATAAAATTTCAAGAGACCCTAGCACTTGCGGGGTTCTCTACGAATAATAAGGATTACTGCATCTATCAAAAGATCAGTGGGAGTAATGTTTTTATTTCCTTTTATGTGGATGATATGCTAATTGTTAGTAGCTCGATTGCCCTAGTAGTAGAGACGAAAACATTCATTGCACAACACTTCGATATGAAGGATTTTGGAGAAGCTTCATATGTGTTGGGCATCAAGATAATAAGAAACATAAAAAAGAAAATTATCCAACTTTTCCAGGCAACCAACTACAACATGATACTGGAAAAGTTTAATTTGGATAACTGTAAACTCATTTCTACGCCAATAAACCAAAATATGAACTTGAAATTTGGACTTTCAAAAAGCCGAATGAAAAAAAAAAAAAATATTGGCGTTTTGGTGGTTCAAATATTGTAATTCCAAACACAGTTTTTATTTGTGTTTTGGGGGTTTCACATTACAACTTTTGAACTGCCCGAATGCTTATTTTCTATTGTGTTTTTGGTTGTTCAAGCTTGAAATTTTGGGTGTCATGCATCATTTCTTAGTTACGAAAATTATTTCGGGTTCGTACGTAAATTTCCCAACAATAAACCTTGTGCCTTACATCGTCCCTGTCTTACTTATCATTTGCTAATCATCTTCACACTCTCATTTATCATCTTTAGGTACCTAATGGGATAGGATTCATACTAGGAGCCACACAACTAATTGTGTATGCAGTCTATCGGAATTCCAAGAGCACGGATCAGAAACCGGACATGGAGGAATTGGATACCAAACACTGTTTTGAAATCGAAATGCCTCGCACTGATAAAAATCTAGAAAAAGCTGAAGATAATTCGATCGAAAATGTGAATCTCCACAAGGTAAGAAGCCCCCCAAAAACACGCAAGCAAGACAACTTCTAGAAGATGCTCAAGTCTCTCCCTTCCTCGCAATTCGAATTGCATGCAGACTAGCACCGGCTTTACGAGGGGAGGAGAAGGCGAAACAGCTCGAGCTAGAGATGAGGTTTAGAAGATCAATGCGCCATGAGATTTCCATATTTTCATTAATTTTATTCATGTCTTGTAAATGTGGTTTGGATTTGGATTTCGATGAATTTATGTGGACATGAGTATACCTAGTGAAGTGGTTCTTCATCAGTACAAGGAGCTATATAAGGGATTAGTTTAAGCCCTGTAAAGTAGATTACTCTTATTAATGTCACTACTTTGAGCATTTTGATTACACAATTTAATAATTTGAGTTTGGAATATTCCAAGGAGATGCCCTGAGTTTGATAAGCACATGAATATTTCCAAGACATACTGCCCCGGAAGGAACTGGACACCAATGTCCAAGTCACATTAGCCAATTGAATCGGTTAGGGATTTAGTCTAATTAAAATAGGTTCAACAGACAAATTAATCCAAACCTGATTTAAAAACTAGAGAAGAACAAGAGAAGAAGGACAAGGTTTCTATATTTTCCCACTGTATAGAAGTTCTATATTTCCCCAATCCAGCAGCCCAATTTACATAAAATAAGCCATTGCCTGTGTGATCTAGATCTGATGCCTCAGAGTATTTTATTTTTAATTTTTATTCTAGAAATTATGTGAATGTGAAATTTGGTACGTACCATCATCTCAATGGGGTGCACTTAAAAATAAATAAAACAAATAGTATTTTCAATCAAATAAAATGATTTAAATACCCCTAAATCTATTAGGGGTATTTTGGTCATTTTATTTCATCTAGAATATTTGCTTTATATTTTTTGTAGTTTTGTGTTCAAGAGAAGAGTGGACGTCCAAAACTTTGTATAATAAAAATAAAAATAAAACAGTGTAGAGGCATGACATTGTAATTTGATCAATCTCAGTCGTTCATTCACATCTGACATCTACGTTAGGATAAGTATGGAAAGCCTGCCCTAAGAAGAAACCTTAAATAAACTTTTTCCTATGGGAAATAGTGAAAAATTTTAAGATTGCAACTATAGAAAAATAGGCATTCCTAAAAAATCCATAAAAAAAATGATGTTTTAAAAGGTGAATTATCCTCTAATTGATCATTTCAACCTCAAGATATACGGATGTGAAAACAAATAAAAAATAAAAAATAAAAAATTAAAGCACAGAAAATGATACATCGTATAGTACATTATCTAGACTGTCTATTCTCAAGATTTTCATATGTTCATAGATCAACTTGATCTTTTTCTTTTCCTATAGTACTTTTTTAGTTTTAGATTTCATAGCTGGATGTGAAGTTGTTTTTTAGGTCTTTGTTAAAATTTCCAACACAAAAATCACGTCTTTCGATGAGCTTTGGAAGTGTGACTTAATTGGATTTTAATGTTGACACCCAATACATATCACCCCCTTTAAAATATGGATTATATTGCAAAAAAAATTGTCCAATGTTCTTTAGCGAGTCCAATGAGCCAAACTCGTTAGTCGGACAACACAAAACGTATCAAATATTAATCTTATCACTTTTTTAACTAAATCCATATTTATAAGCCGAACTAGCTAAAGCACCAATAGGCAATCTAACTAACTAATCCAATCTGGTCATGATAACAATGGTTTTTAATTTGAGTGTGGTTTGTATAAAGTTGCAACCTTAAACAGTCAAATTAAGGCGCACCTCCAAATTTTATGATAGATATAATTTCAGTGCCAAAAATTCTTACGATGGCTTGAGAATCTATTTTTATCACTAATCATAAAATTTTGAACTCCAAAAATGGTTCAAATCAAGTAGATCTATGTATACTTGAAAATCTTAAAAATCAACGGTCCAGATAATATGTTACAAGATACATTATTTTTAGGACTCAAAATCTTTTTTCTTTTCATATTCATACATCTCGATATCAAGATGATCTAATAAAGGGTTTTCTAACATAAAAACAACATTTTATAGTGAATTATTTAGGTGCATCTTAATATTACATTTTAAAGTTGCAATTTTATAAAAAAATTAGAGACCAAAAGGGAGTTTTTATTTCTCAGAAGAGCTATTGGCACCCATTCGTGCTTTTGCTATTTCCATCTAAAACAAGTGCCGGGATATTGAGATGTCTTTTACGTCTGGTTTCAATAAGGTTGCAACTTTAAACAATTCAATTAAGGTGCACCTCCAAATTTTATCATAACATGTAATTTTGATATAAATTTTTTTTGGGATTATTCGAAAATCTATTTTTATATCTAATTATAAAAGTTTAAAGTTAAAAAATGGTTAAAATCAAATAGATCTCTAAACATATGAAAAACTTGAAAATGGACGGCCTAGATAATGCGTTGCAAGATATATTATTTCTAGGACTTAATTTTCTTTTTTTTTTCATATTCATACATCTCAATGTCGAGATTATCAATTAGAGTGTATTTCAACATAAAAACAACCTTTTTCAATGGATTTTTAATGTGCATCTTAGTTCTGCATTTTAAGGTTGCAACCTTATATAAACTTTTTCCTTTACCAACTTCTATGGAATAACTGCACATTACCCACAAAACTAGGCTTGGCCATGGGCCAAGCTTGGCTGGCATTCGACCCTAGGGGCCTAGCTCAGGCCTTGACCCGATTTTATTTTTCTAGAGTATCATAAAAGACATTAAAATTTTTAAAGTACGTAGCTAGGACTCAACTTGAAAAATACTAACTAGCAATTATAGATAATATCGGTTACAATAAAGTGTACGTTTATATTGTGGTCCATATATTATTGTTTTGAGGACAATCATAGTCTAAAGTCTAAACATATATCTATCGTAAGGAAATGTATGTAATGAGTCCATTTATTTTAGAAACAAGGAGGTCACAATTGTTATTGACAATTAGATTTGAAATTAGGTAGTTGATGATGTGTCACTGTTTGGGCACAAAGCTCAAAATAAAACTTATCGAATGTTGTGACACACTTTCATTTATTGAATTTCACATCCATTGGCTAAAAGTGATTAGGACATCCTTGTACTAAAAATAAATGGTTTCATAATATACAGTCTCATTTGTATCACCGGCTCAACAACAACTAGTGTAAACTTTTGAATATTGAGAGGATGAGAGACTAGAAGGATTGATTTTATGTAATAGAGAGGGAGAAAGCAGGATTGACTAGGGCAAAGATATAGCAGTATTGGGATTGGTTTTGTGCAGGGAGGGGGAGCGTTTGTGTCTCATGCGAAAGAGGGGATGTTGCAATATGGGAATGTTTATTATGAGACCATTTACTTTTAATATAAGGAGGTCACACTCACTTTTAGCCAATGGATGTGAAATCCAATAGATAAAAGTGATTCGCAACATTTGAGAAATTTTATTTTGGACTTTGTGCTTTAATAATGATACATTTTCAACAACCCAATTTCAAATTCAACGGTCATTGATGATTGTGACCTCCTTGTTTCAAAAGTAAATGGTCTCATTATGTACATTTTCAATGGGATTGTATTTTGAGACTATTTATTTTTAATACAAAAATGTCACAATCATTTTTAGCCAATAGATGTGAAATCTAATAAATGAAAGCATCGACCTTATACTATATGGAACTAGTGATAATTTATTTTAAAGGGAAATCTTACTCCCTATGTATAAGGAATATATATATGCCACTATCTCGTAGCCGTTTGATCTAAGATCTAATTTCTCAAAGTATTTTGTTTTTAATTTCTTTTTACAAAATCATATGAATATAAAAAGGAAATTATCACAAATATACCTTAATTTAAGCTTAATTGGAAAAAAAAAAAAACCCAAACTTTTATTTATCTCATATGCATCATTTTTCCTCATTTTTGGTTTTTTTTATTCATCAAAATGACCTTCACGATAGTCGTATTACCGTAATAGTTAGTGCATGTTATACGATACTGTAAGTACCATAATACTATAATAGTGAGGGCATTTTATACTGTACTTTAGGCACTGTAAACTTATACTAACACTTACGGCATTTTACATACCGTAAACACTAACCCATGTTATACAGCACTTAAAATGCCGTAAACCCTTTTCTCATTCTGTTTATCTCTCTCATATCTAATTCTTTTAATGATTATCTATTCTTTCTCTCTAATTCCTTTTAATACTTATCTTTTCGTTCTCTCTCTAATTGTTTTTTATCTATTTTTTCTTTCTCTATAATCTCATCATCATTTCCTTCGAGAGAGTAATCAAACAAGGACTTCGGCTATGCAAAACAGAGGACATGATCTATCTAAAGAAACGATGATGAGATTATAGAAAAAGAAAGAAAAGATAAAAAAGAATTAGAGAGAGAAAGAAGAGATACATATTAAAATGAGTTGAAAAAATAAAGAAGAGATAAACATAAAAAGAATTAGATATGAAAGAGATAAATATAAACAGAATGAGAAAATGATTTACGCCATTTTAAGTGTCGTATACGATATGTTAGTTTTTATGGTATTTAAAATGCCGTATAATGGATTTTAGTTTTTACGATACTTAAAGTACTGTAATTGGCTTCACGGTCTTGGCCAGAGTTTTATGGTACCGTAATATTACTTTAAGTTACTACGGTATTTTAAATACCATATAAAATGATATGTATTACGGTTGTAAGGCTATTGTGAAAGTCATTTTGATCCAAAAAAAGCCATAAAAAAAAAAAGTCTAGACTAGATAAACAAAAGTTTGGGGTTTTTTTTCAATTAACCTTAAATTAAGGTATATTTGAGATAATTTCTCAATATAAAATTTGGCTTGTCATCCTCAAGAAAAAGCAATTCGTTAGTGAGTTCTTAAGAGAAGAATAATATAAAAAATAATAACCAAATAACTTTCAAACTTTCAGAGGTGTTTTAGATATTTTATTTTATCAAAAACAAAATTTTTTACATTTTTTTGTGGGTGCATGATTTAGAAAAAATTGGAAACCTCAGGCTTTGCGTCGGGACATCTTAACCTTCCATTTAAATCAATTAGACAACCCTAGCTTGGCCCAAACTATGTATTGTTGTCGGTCCCATGTGGCTAGAGTTGACTTTGGGCTCGCCCTATTTCTAAATTGGATTTAGGTCCCCTTAGTTGGTCCTCAGGGTCGGCTCAATCTAAGGCCTTTTAGAAACAGTTTGGGCCATAGGTTATCCATACCCATTGGATCGGGCGAGGGTGGATGTTGCTTTAAATGCGAGGGATAATAAACTGTTGTAAAATTAAGAGTAGAGGTAGAAAAAAATCCGGGCCCGGAAAGGGCTAGGTTGGCCAACTCTGGCCCTAGTCCAGCCTAATCCCTATATTGCCGGCCTGAGTTCAGTCCAAGCCAAACAAAACAAAAGGCTGGCCCAAGCCAACCCTTGGCAGCCGGGCCAGAGATATAAAAGTAATCTAAGGAATGAAACACAAAAAGGTCAGGAAGGCTCAATTGCCGCCCAGGCCCATCCTTAGGCCATAATGGCCCAACTCTCGGGTTACAAATGTAGCCCAGGCCGTAGCTTTTTTAGGGCCATGATGATAAAAAAGGTCACTTTCCTGTCGCCCTTATTTTAATACGAGGTACCAAGGCCATTTACCAAAAAGCAATGGTGATTGGCGTCTAGTCGGTGATCTAAAGGCAGTGCTAAAACGAGGAAAAAGTACTGAATTAATCAATAGAAAACTAAGGTGATTATTTCAAGAGAAAAAAACTAAGGTGATTATTTTCAGAGAAAAGATCACTTTTTTTTTCATTGTTTTAAAAATCACCGCTAAATTTGAAACAAATCTAAAATCTTATATGAAACCCCGTATGATTTTTTTCCGTTAGAAAAAAAAATCACCCTTAACTTTGATACAAAACGAGACCTCCACCGTCAAAGAATCACCGGATCTCACGTGGTACACATATATGTGGTGTAGGGTAAATGCCCATCGCGCGCCCTTAACCCCCCAAACAAAACCTTTTTTGTTTTTTTGTGGCCATTAATTTTGAAAAGTGAGTGGAGGAGGCAGGCCCAATACTGGAGAACTCAGTACGTGGTCACAAAAACGGACAGAAAGTCTACACGACATGACGTGTAAACCTTACATACGCGTACACGACTGTTTGGTACGGTAGAGAGTATGTATTAGAGAGAGAGAGAGAGAGAGAAGGGGTTCGGTAGCCCTATTGCTGGATGAGAGGGCTTTAAGATGGAGACTCCCAGAGAGAGGGACCGTTGGGAATAGGTTAGGTGATGAAGGAGGACGAATAGAGAAATCTAGAGAGAGAAACCATGGGGCAACGACCAGCCTTCTTTCCATTGGCCTTAGCACTTGCTTTGCTAGGGTTTGCAGAGGCCACGCCACCGCACGCATCAGAGGCGCCATCGCCGGGCAACACGACGAGGCCGACCGCCTATGAGGTCTTGGAGAGCTACGGTTTCCCGATCGGCCTCTTGCCGCAAGGGGTTCTCGACTATGAACTCGATGAGTCGACGGGCCAATTCTCAGCCTATTACAATGGCACCTGCGCCTTCGCGCTCGAGGACTCCTCCTACCGGCTCAGCTACCGCCCCACCATCTCTGGTCGCATCTCCTACCGTCGGCTGCAGAATCTGGAGGGTGTGAGTGTGAAGGTGCTCTTCTTCTGGCTCTCCATCACGAGGGTGGAATCGGACGGCCAAGAACTCTCCTTCTCAGTCGGGATTGCATCTACATCGTTCCCTGTCTCCAATTTTTATGAGAGCCCTCAGTGTGGATGTGGCCTGGATTGCGTTTCTAATCAAGCACTGCCCTCCTCTTCCTCTTCCTCTTCCTCTTCCTCTTCTTCAGTGTGATGGACGGTGGTTTCTGATAGGTATGTAACTGTGGTCTATAAAACGTAGTAGTCCATGTAGTCACTACCTTAGTAGTCCGTGTAGTCACTACCTCTTAATTAGATTATTAGACACCATTCGGGTGCATTTTACCTCTTTCCTTACGTTTTGAGATGTATGCTATAAGACCGGTTACTTTTGGTTTGCTTTGAGGAAGATACACGACTGGACCCAGGAGCCAACGGCTATACCCGACTTCGGTTCGGGTTCGAATATGGGTTCCAATTTTAGACTGGGTACCCGTATCCATTGTATTGTTTATTACGTAGATGATGGCAATCATGTATGTTATTGGCAAAAAAATAAAATAAAATAAAAAACTTATAGTCGTGAGGTGTACGATAGTAAAAAACTGGTAAATAAAAAAAAAAAAAAACTCATAGTCATAAAATAACAATGGATCCGACAGACTTGATGGGTAAACCCGTGACGGGAGAAGCCTTGATACAGGTCTAAATTTTGACCCGAATACTATTCGAGTCTGGGTCGAGGTCCAGCTGGACCCAACCCACCCCTATTCTTAGAGCACGATTAGCATTCGGAAAAATACTCCGTTCATGTAATTAGGTACGAAAGAATTTTTACATCAATTGGTCCCAATATATTTTTTCACAGTAGTTACTTTCACATGTAATCACACGAGGAAGTTTTTTCCCATGAAAATACTTCCTGTGTATCCCCTTAGATTTAAAATGGGTAACGAGGAAGTTTTTTCCCATGAAAATACTTCCTGTGTATCCCCTTAGATTTAAAATGGGTAGCAAGGAGCATTGGAGTCCAAAATATAAATTTTTGCACTACGTAATGCACTTCAAATTATTAAATTTTATATCTAAAGGTGATTGTGACGTCCTTCCTTCAAGAGTAAATAGTCTTATAGAATCCCTTTTATTTTGTTCCTATGTTATTATACACTTCTCTCTTTTATCCATAAAATTAACGAGAAAATTTAACCAAAATTACAGTAATTACCTTATATGGCCATTCGGTTTTGAGACTTTAAAGTGGAATTTTAGTGGGAGGGAGCTACTTAAGCGATTTTTATTCTCTCTACCTGGAAATCCCCAGTATCTTTGGGTAAACAGACTGCGTGGTAATTTTATGCATACGGGAATTTCCGATTTCATTGAAATTAGAAGTAAACTCATTATTTCATTAAGTCATGGGATTCAAATGTGAATGTGATAACTTTCAATATTCCTAAAAATCCTAGAAGGATGGGAATTAACTGTCAATATCGCTTACTTCTTAGATAAGTTATTGTCATCCTTCAGGTGGATATATTCTCGAGGGAGGAAAACCATGTTTGATAAGCTATTGTCGTCCTTTAGGTGGATATAACCATGTTTCTAGGACTTTGTGAGAGAATCTAAAACTTTCGATTAAGGTGGACACCACCTTACACCAATGTTCACAAAATCGAACCTGAACGGTTAATCGGGTACGGGCCTGAAAGCGATTTAACCAGCCTAATCGGTAAACCAGTCGATTCAACCGCTCTAACCCGACAAGTCCCCAACAATAAAAAAAGTAGCGAAAAAAATAAAAAAGATTCAAAAAACATCTACTAAAAAAATATGAAAAGCATATAAAGAATGTGATTAAAAACAAAACACACTCAAACGAAGTTGAAAATTAATGAAAAAAATGGATTTTAACGAATCAATTTGTGCTTAGGGGTATTATTAAATTTTTTTGAAAAAAGATAAGAAAATATAAAAATGAGTATCAACGGGCAAAGAAATTTTTAATCTTTACCCTAATGTAAATAATATTTAAATAATGTTAAAAAAATCGACTTGACCAACTATTTTAAAAAAAAAAATTAAAGAAAAATTAAGTCATATATAATATAGGCCCTTTTTTTTGGCAACTAAGATAGTAAATGACATATTGGTTAGTGGGGTTAACAGTCAATTAAGTAGTAAATAAATGGCGTTTAAAAAAAAAAAGCTATAATCTAAAGGGTGTGGTTTCAATAATGTTGCAATCTTAAACAATCCATTTAAAGTGCGCCTTCAAATTTTATAATAATATATAATTTTGATGTAAAATATTCTTAAGATTATCTCAAAATATATTTTCAAATTTAATTGTAAAATTTTGAACCTCAAAAATGATTAAAATCAAGTAGATTTATAAACAACTCAAAATCTTGAAAATGGACGGTCGAGATAATGTGTTATAAGAGGTACCATTTTTGGGACTCAAAATCCTTTTTTTTTTTTCATAGTCATCTATCTCGACGTCGAGATGATCAATTAGAGGGATTTTCAAAACTAAAAGAACCTTTACCGATGGATTTTTAAGGTGCATCCATAATTCTACATTTTAAGGTTGCAACCTCATATAAACTTTTCCGGGGGTTTAAAATAGTGTTTAAGAAAACACTCGAGCGGATTCAAACCACGAATCATATGAAATTTTCTCGTCAAAGCCAAACAACTTACCATTGTAACATAACTGACATAAATTTGAAGTTATACTTTATTTATCATTTAAAATACTGGTGATCAACAAAACCACCCAAAATCGAAACGGGCCAATTCCGATCTAATCGGGCGGTTGGCAGTTAGAT